AAAACCCATCCATCTGTCAGTTATGGCAGATCAATCCCAGTGGAAAGGGCCGAGGTGGCACCCAAAGGTTTCTTCTCTTCAAAAAATAGAATGTGACTCTTGACCCAGATGTCAAACCTGCTGCCTAGAAGCAGGTTTGGAATGACTAATGGTCGAGGAAGATGATGACCTTATTCACGAATATCTAGACTTTGTCCTAGGTGGATAATCACCCATTCTACTTTGGGGATGGACAGGCACCATCTACCTAGACTGCCCTGGTACCTAAACGATTTACACTTTGGGGCTGATGGCGCAGAGCACTAGAATCCTGGAAGGAATGCAAAGCATCCTCCATATGCTCTGAATAGTGCTGTTCCTTCAAAGGACAAATCCTTTCTTGTGGCTTGTACTTTTTTAGGAACTTCAGAAGCCTGCAACCATGAAGTTCTATGCATGTTCCCAGGGTGGGCCATGGACCTAGCCACTGTGTCTGAAACATCTATGTCTGTATGTAGCCATGTCTTAGCTACTAAATGGCCTTCCATGGGGATACCCTATACCTCATATCTCTGGCTTCTTGAGGGAGTTCAGATGTAACCCTTCTGTTACACCTAAGTTTTCTAGGGGTTCCTTCTAAAGACTTAAATAACTTCAGCTTGAGCCCCCACCTAGAAACCTAGGAAACTATATGCCACCCTGGGCACCCTTGATGGGCAATACTTCCACACTTGCAAGCACTGAGTCTAGGTTGTTAAAACATAGAAAACTGTATTGAGGGAGGGGGGAGCAAGGGATGGGGGACAACATGATAAAATTGGGAAAAGTAGCAATTAATAATTTAACATTATTAAGGTAAGATCTCCCCACTGGCTGCACCTAGAGTGCCTTAACAATAGTCCCAACTTCATTCCTTCTGATAGTTGAGAGTGGATGGTACTTTATAGCCACTTCCCTCCATCCCAGCTCCTCACTCTTAGTGTGTTTCCCTGGGCTGGTGGAGTCCAAAGATGCTGACAGATCTGTGCTGCCTGCTCTGCTCCAGAGGCTCTGGCACCTGACCCAGCTGGAGTGATTTCAACTTTAATTGCTCGGTAGGGAGGCCCACCCCAGAGTCCCTTAGGAAGGCTGCTGCTCTCTCTGCATCATCCGTCAGCACCACTCTGTGCTGTCTGCTGTTTTGCAGCATAGAATCATAGAACAACAGGGTTGGAAGGGACCTCAGGAGGTCATCTAGTCCAACCCCCTGCTCAAAGCAGGACCAATCCCCAATTAAATCATCCCAGCCAGGGCTTTGTCAAGCCTGACCTTAAAAACTTCTAAGGAAGGAGATTCTACTGCCTCCCTAGGTAACGCAGTCCAGTGTTTTACCACTCTCCTAGTGAAAAAGTTTTTCCTAATATCCAACCTAAACCTCCCCCACTGCAACTTGAGACCATTACTCCTTGTTCTGTCATCTTCTACCACTGAGAATAGTCTAGAACCATCCTCTTTGGAACCACCTCTCAGGTAGTTGAAAGCAGCTATCAAATCCCCCCTCATTCTTCTCTTCTGCAAACTAAACAATCCCAGTTCCCTCAGCCTCTCCTCAGAAGTCATGTATTCCAGACCCCTAATCATTTTTGTTGCCCTTCGCTGGACTCTTTCCAATTTTTCCACATCCTTCTTGTAGTGTGGGGCCCAAAGCTGGACACAGTACTCCAGATGAGGCCTCACCAATGTCAAATAGAGGGGAACGATCACATCCCTCGATCTGCTGGCTATGCCCCTACTTATACATCCCAAAATGCCATTGGCCTTCTTGGCAACAAGGGCACACTGCTGACTCATATCCAGCTTCTCGTCCACTGTCACCCCTAGGACCTTTTCCGAAGAACTGCTGCCTAGCCATTTGGTCCCTAGTCTGTAGCGGTGCATTGGATTCTTCCGTCCTAAGTGCGGGACCCTGCACTTATCCTTGTTGAACCTCATCAGATTTCTTTTGGCCCAATCCTCCAATTTGTCTAGGTCCCACTGTATCCTATCCCTATCTGCCACCGTATCTACCACTCCTCCTAGTTTAGTATCATCCGCAAATTTGCTGAGAGTGCAATCCACACCATCCTCCAGATCATTTAAGAAGATATTGAACAAAACCGGCCCCAGGACCAACCCTTGGGGCACTCCACTTGATACCGGCTGCCAACTAGACATGGAGCCATTGATCACTACCGGTTGAGCCCGACAATCTAGCCAACTTTCTACCCACCTTATAGTGCATTCATCCAGCCCATATTTCTTTAACTTCCTGACAAGAATACTGTGGGAGACCGTGTCAAAAGCTTTGCTAAAGTCAAGAAACAATACATCCACTGCTTTCCCTTCATCCACAGAACCAGTAATCTCATCATAGAAGGCAATTAGATTAGTCAGGTATGACCTTCCCTTGGTGAATCCATGCTGACTGTTCCTGATCACTTTCCTCTCGTGTAAGTGCTTCAGGACTGATTCCTTGAGGACCTGCTCCATGATTTTTCAGGGGACTGAGGTGAGGCTGACTGGCCTGTGGTTCCCAGGATCCTCCTTCTTCCCTTTTTTAAAGATGGGCACGACATTAGCCTTTTTCCAGTCGTCCAGGACTTCCCCCGATCGCCTCTGCAGACTAAACAAACCCAGTTCCCTCAGCCTCTCCTCATAAGTCATATGTTCCAGTCCCCTAATCATTTTTGTTGCCCTCCGCTGGACGTTTTCCAATTTTTCCACATCCTTCTTGTAGTGTGGGGCCCAAAACTGGGCACAGTACTCCAGGTGAGGCATCACCAATGTCGAATAGAGGGGAACAATCACGTCCCTCGATCTGCTGGCAATGCCCCTACTCATACATCCCAAAATGCCAGTGGCCTTCTTGGCAACAACGGCACACTGTTGACTCATGTCCAGCTTCTCGTCCACTGTAACCCCTAGGTCCTTTTCCGCTGAACTGCTGCCTAGCCATTCGGTCCCTAGTCTGTAGCGGTGCATGGGATTCTTCCATCCTAAGTGCAGGACTCTGCACTTGTCCTTGTTGAACCTCATCAGATTTCTTTTGGCTCAATCCTCTAATTTGTCTAGGTCACTCTGGACCCTATCCCTACCCTCCAGCGTATCTACCTCTCCTCCCAGTTTAATGTCATCTGCAAACTTGCTGAGGGTGCAATCCACAACATCCTCCAGATCATTTATGAAGATATTGAACAAAACCGGCCCCAGGACCGACCCTTGGGGCACTCCACTTGATACCGGCTGCCAACTAGACATGGAACCATTGATCACTACCCGTTGAGCCTGACAATCTAGCCAACTTTCTATCCACCTTATAGTCCATTCATCCAGCCCATACTTCTTTAACTTGTAGGCAGGAATACTGTGGGAGAGCATGTCAAAAGCTTTGCTAAAGTCAAGTAATAACACGTCCACTGCTTTCCCCTCATCCACAGAGCCAGTTATCTCATCATAGAAGGCAATTAGATTAATCAGGCATGACTTGCCCTTGGTGAATCCATGCTGACTGTTCCTGATCACTTTCCTTTCCTCTAAGTGCTTCAGAATTGATTCCTTGAGGACTTGCTCCATGATTTTTCCAGGGACTGAGGTGAGGCCGACTAGCCTGTGGTTCCCAGGATCCTCCTTCTTCCCTTTTTTAAAAGATGGGCACTACATTAGCCTTTTTCCAGTCATCTGGGACTTCCCCCGATCACCATGAGTTTTCAAAGATAATGGCCAATGGCTCTGCAATCACATCCGCCAACTCCTTTATCACCCTCGGATGCAGTGCATCTGGCCCCCTGGACTTCTGCTCATCCAGCTTTTCTAAATAGTCCCGAACCACTTCTTTCTTCACAGAGGGCTGGTCTCCTCCTCCCCATGCTGTGCTGCCCAGTGCAGTAGTCTGGGAGCTGACCTTGTTTGTGAAGACAGAGGCAAAAAAAGCATTGAGTACATTAGCTTTTTCCACATCCTCTGTCACTAGGTTGCCTCCCTCATTCAGTAAGGGGGCCACACTTTCCTTGGCTTTCTTCTTGTTGCTAACATACCTGAAGAAACCCTTCTTGTTACTCTTAACATCTCTTGCTAGCTGCAACTCCAGGTGTGATTTGGCCTTCCTGATTTCACTCCTGCATGCCCGAGCAATATTTTTATACTCTTCCCTGGTCATTTGTCCAATCTTCCACTTCTTGTAAGCTTCTTTTTTGTGTTTAAGATAAGCAAGGATTTCACTGTTAAGCCAAGCTGGTTGCCTGCCATATTTACTATTCTTTCTACACATCGGGATGGTTTGTCCCTGTAACCTCAATAAGGATTCTTTAAAATACAGCCAGCTCTCCTGGACTCCTTTAAGTGAGCTGTAGCTCACGAAAGCTCATGCTCAAATAAATTGGTTAGTCTCTAAGGTGCCACAAGTACTCCTTTTCTTTTTGCGAATACAGACTAACACGACTGTTCCTCTGAAACCTTTCCCCCTCATGTTATTCTCCCAGGGGATCCTACCCATCAGTTCCCTGAGAGAGTCAAAGCAGCCTCAGTTCAGCTCTTGAGAGAGATCTGTGGTACCTAGTACCCTCAACAGAGTCCTTATCACCACAGAGGCATTCCCAGCAGAAGGTAGATGCCTCTTTCCCCTCTCCTATCCCTGATCCAACCATGCCTGACTGGAGTCTTAGGTCAGGATGGCTGACCCCCAGGCACATTTACTATAGATCCTTGTCCCTTCATTTCTCAACAGGGTCCATAACACTGTATTGCCCCCAGACTTAACACAACTATATTTTATCCAAAACACCCCAAAATGCCACATAACTGAAAAGCAAATGAGGCCTGGCCCATTCAGTCAATTCTCCTTGCTCTCCACCAGAGGCTGGCGGAAAGCTTCCTCCCCCAGGCAGCTTTTCCCTCTGGAGTTCTCTAGGCCACTCTTCTCTGTTCACTCAGAGATCTCAATAGTGGGCTCCCAACTCTCTCGGGCTTCACACCACAGGCCTTACATAGATACAAAAGGAGATTACCTTATAACAGGAAGTTATACTTCACAAATAGATCCTGGCATTTGGTGATTTGTAACTGCAGTGATGATGATGGTGATGATGAAGAAAAGGCCCTTCCAGATCCAGGGGGAGGTGGTCTTCGTCTTTAGGGATGCTTTGTCCGCTTAATCTTCAAGTGCAGATGAGACAATCAAGGTGCCCAGCATTACATGAGTACAGAACTGCTCAAAACCCATTGAGGCTGCTGATAGCTTCCTACATCTCAGAGAGCAGGAAAGAGATAAGTGGCTGGTGTATCCCACAGAACCTTGGCTGGGTCAAGGATGCCTCACTTATCACTAGAGCTATCCTAGCAGGAGCAGAAAGATACAGAATATTTTTTACTTTTTTTTTTAAACTTCATTTGATTCTATGCTCTTTCACATATAGTGCCACTCCCCCACCATCATGACCTGTTTTGTCCTTCCGATATATTTTCATAGAATCATAGAATTGGAAGGGACCTCAAGAGGTCATTTAGTCCAGTACCCTGCCTTCGTGGCAGGACTAATTATCTAGACCATGTCAAGGTTCCTTCCCCACTCTGAACTCTAGGGTACAGATGTGGGGACCTGCATGAAAACATCCTAAGCTTACTTTCACCAGCTTAGGTTAAAACTTCCCCAAGGTACAAATTAATTTTATCCTTTGCCCCTGGATTTCCACTGCCACCACCAAACTTTAACTGGGTTTACTGGGAAACGTAGTTTGGACACTTCTTTCCCCCCAAAATCCTCCCAACCCTTGCACCCCACTTCCTGGGGAAGGTTTGGTAAAAATCCTCACCAATTTGCATAGGTGACCACAGACCCAAACCCTTGGATCTTAGAACAATGAAAAAGCATTCAGTTTTCTTACAAGAAGACTTTTGATAGAAGTAAAGGAATCACCTCTGTAAAACCAGGATGGTAGATACCTTACAGGGTAATTAGATTCAAAACATAGAGAATCCCTCTAGGCAAAACCTTAAGTTACAAAAAAGACACACAGACAAGAATAGTCATTCTATTCAGCACAGTTCTTTTCTCAGCCATTTAAAGAAATCATAATCTAACACATACCTAGCTAGATTACTTACTAAAAGTTCTAAGACTCCATTCCTGTTCTGTCCCTGGCAAAAGCAGCATACAGACAGACACAGACCCTTTGTTTTTCTCCCTCCTCCCAGCTTTTGAAAGTATCTTGTCATTTTGGTCAGGTGCCAGCGAGGTTTCCTTTAGCTTCTTAACCCTTTACAGGTGAGAGGGTTTTTCCTCTGGCCAGGAGGGATTTTAAAGGGGTTTACCCTTCCCTTTATATTTATAACACCATTATTGACAGGTGTTTGTCTAACCTGCTCTTAAAAATCCCCAATGATGGAGATTCTACAACCTCCCTAGGCAATTTATTCCGTCAGTTAGGAAGTCTTTCCTAATGTCCAACCTAAACTTCCCTTGCTGCAATTTAAGTCCATTGTTTCTTGTCCTACCCTCAGATGTTAAGAAAAATATTTTTTCTTCCTCCTCCTTGTAACAACCTTTTACATACCTGAAAACTGTTATCATGTCCCCTTCTCAGTCTTCTCTCTTCCAGACTAAACAAACCCAATTTTTTTTCAATCTTCTCTCATAGGTCATGTTTTCTAGACCTTTAATAATTTTTGTTGCTCTTCTCTGGACTCTCTCCAATTTGTCCACATCCTTCCTGAAATGTGGTACCCAGTACAGGACACAATACTCCAGTTGAGGCCTAATGAGAGTGAAGTAGAGTGAAAGAATTACTTCTCATGTCTTGCTTACAAAACTCCTGCTAATACATCCCAGAATTATGTTTGCTTTTTTTGCAACAGCATTACACTGTTAACTCATATTTAGCTTGTAGTCCAATATGACCCCCAGATCCCTTTCCACAGTACTCTTTCCTAGGCAGCCATTTCCCAAGCCTATCCACAAGGCTTGTTTTCCTGTCAAAGGAAGCTATCAGGTTGGTTTGACATGATTTGTTTTTGATTGTAAAGCTTGTGAGCATTTTACCCCTCTGTGACAGATGTTTCAATATCTAGTGTGCTAGAAATGCAGAATAGCAACTCTTGCAATATTTTAAAATTATCCAGAGCTGAAGAAACAGCTGCATTAGGAGAAGACAATAAAGGCCCTTGGGAGCTCTGGCATCTGTTCCTCAAGCATTTCTTCTTAATTCTCTGTCAGGAGACTGGGATCTGTCCATAGAAGTGGATAGGGATTAAAATATTGAATGCCTCTTGGAATGAGACAGACTCCTGAAGGCTCAGGACAGGGGTCTCCAGTGTGACTAGTAGGGCCATGGTAGAACATTGCAGTGGTAAGCCCGGTTCAGCTGGGGTTGTCAGACCACTACCATGCAGATGTCAGAGGTGATGTAGCTCTCCTGTGTAACGATGTGTCCCACCTGGGATATCTAAAAAAATAAGTCTTCTTGCCAGATGCAGGAGGGGGAAAAAAAGTGTCCTAATGAGAGTGATAAGAAATAGACCTCAACAGAGAGTGCCAACCCCTGGGGAGATCTCAGCACTGCACAGTCAGAAGTATGCAGCAGTACGAATTGCAGTGGTCTTCATGCCAAGAATGTAACAGAGATTGGATGCAGGCTAAAAAATCAACTCTCTCTTCAGGGTCTGCAGTTCCCCTCACTGATTATGCAAGGAGGTAAAGCTTCAGACGGACATCTCTAGACTTCCTCATCTTCACTGAAAACATCTGGCACATTTCATCAGCCATCTGGAATGTGGCACTCACCAAGGCAGAACAGGCAGTGCCCCTGTCCATCCACAAAAGGGATTAAACCACTGCAAGAATGGCAGTGTTTGAAACAAAGGCTTTGAATCTACCATTAGGTGCAGACAGAGGTGCCACACACCAAAGAAGAGATTAGAAGACTGGGGGGAGGGGAGAAAGAAGGTCTGATTGATGCAAAATAAAATCAAAAGAGTAGAAAAGGGAAGTGTATTCCTAACTAACTAGCTACTGATTATAAGAGAAATCTGCTCAGGATTAGCAAGAGAACACCACCAGCTCCATCTTGTGGCCACAGCCAGAAAGAGGGAAGAGAGGGTCAGTTACAGAGACTCTGCCCTTTGTGACCTCAGGTGGGGGAGGACGTGAAGACATCTATTGTGCAGGTGCAGCCCAACAAACAGTGCTATCCAAAAGATTCTGATCTCACACTCCAAGGGCGCAGGTAACATCTAGATTGAGGATCCACACTGACTCATAGCTGAAGACCAGCAAAAAGGGTTGTGCACTTTATTAAAAATATAAGCAAAACCTACAGATGCACCAGCTGCATCTACCTTTGAAAAAAAATTGGTGGTCCCTTAAGTAATCAGACCAGATTTTGGAACCTCAAAGCAGATTTCGGCTCCATGTCTAAAGAGAGGCATTCGAAGTTGAGCTGGTCAAGATTGCTGGAAAAAAATTACAAGTGGAGCTCTTTTTGTCACTGACATACAACCCCATATTTAGAGCATTCTGAGTCTGATAAGAGTACTGACAAGCTTTTGTCAAGGAGAAGGTTCTTTGGAACCTACCAATTCTCTCACACTTGCTCTCACAGTTTCAGCTAAGATCAATTATTCTTTTAGTTTTAATCAACTCCTTACAAATTACTTCTCCACCTTTCTTACATATTTGTTAATGTACTTTGAGCATCAACAGGATTACCATGTACAGTAAACTAGCAGGCATTCCCCAATATAAAGAGTTGACAATTTGCATTTAAATTAGTCAAAATAAATCCAGCTATTCTTTAACACCTGAATTTTTCAACATTTCCTAGATCTTTAATGTAAATGAGGGGATATTTTTAGATTGTCTCCCAGATTCATTTTAAAACTTTAAAGCCCACATCATTTCACTTTTGAATGTTGCATGTTTATATATATATATATATATATATATATATATATAGTGACAAAGCTCTGTCCTTGCCTCCATGGGTCCCGTGTTTCCTGGCGGATTTCGCTAGCCTCAGAGGCTCACTGTGACCCTCCACGTAACCCTTCTCTCTCTAGAGACAAGGGTCACAGTTTACTGAGCCATTTTCATCATAAGCCAGCGAGGGAGGTGAGGAGAAGTTATCCTTCCTTGCACAGTCTCTGTTGTCTCCCAGTCTCAGTGATTAATCAGGGGGCAAAGGTGGGGGGGAGCCCGTGCACACCCTCTACTCCAGGCTCCAGCCCGGGGACCCCAATAGTATCAGCTATGGTAGCTGACCTCTTAGAAACATGACATGTACAATTCTCTGGGCTACTTCCCCCACAGCAGCCCTCACTTCCTCAAGCTCCACTTCACCCTTACCTCAGGGCCTCCTTCCTTGTGCCTGATATAGTGTGTACTACTCAGTCTCTCCAACAGCACAACTTCCTCCCACAGCTCCTGACATGCGCACCCACCTGACTAACTGGGAGGCTTTTAACTAGTTTCAGCCAGCTCCTGATTGGCTTCAGGTGTCCCAATCAACCTAGCCTTCTCCCTGCCTTCTGGAAAGTTCTTAATTGGCCCCAGGTGTCTTAATTGACCTGGAGCAGCTGCCATTTCACTTATCCTGGTACCAGGGATTTGTTTAGCCTGGAGCTAATATATCTATCTCCCACTACTTTTCTATAGCCATCTGGCCTTGCCCCGTCACAATATATATATATATATATATTCAACTAGAAAGAATCCTTCTAAAGCTACAGAATGATTTTTATAGCTGCTGTGATGAAGATAATAGAATAATGAATAATAGATGGGAAGTATTCATGAATACATGAACTCCTGTTAATGCCTTTTTGAACTACATTAGATGTTTATACATATTTCATAAAAACAAAAAATGTGTTGTAATTTATAGTTACATACTTACGGCTGTATTTGTTATATATATTGTTCAATTACCAAGAAAAAGGGGGGAAAGCTTTCAATTTGATTTTCCCTCTTTCCAACTCAATAACCCACCCCAATCCATAGAACACATTCCTGCTCCTCTTCAGTTGCAGAAGAAAAAATTGATTTCTATAGGAACAGGATTAATCCCAAAAGTCTTTCTAAGGAAAAAGAAAAGGAGTACTTGTGGCACCTTAGAGACTAACCAATTTATTTGAGCATGAGCTTTCGTGAGCTACAGCTCAGCTCACGAAAGCTCATGCTCAAATAAATTGGTTAGTCTCTAAGGTGCCACAAGTACTCCTTTTCTTTTTGCGAATACAGACTAACACGGCTGTTCCTCTGAAACCTGTCATTATGCAAGTTTCTAAGGAAAGACTCACTCACACATGTTTACTCATGAAAGAGCTCTTTACTCACAACCATAGCTTCTGTGGAATTAGTACTGGAAGATGTATTAATAAATAAATGTTACAAGAGAGACATGGTGGGTGAGGAAATCTCTTTTATTAGACCAACTTCTGTTGGTGAGAGAAAAGGTCAGGCCGTGCACTGGGATTTCTGCAGCAATTTTTTTAAACTACAGTCCTTACAAAAGAGTGAGCCTCCTGATGAAATTTCAGATTTTTAGTAGTGAAGGGCACCATCCTTTGAAGTGCTGAGCACCTTTCCCTCTTATTTAGATTATTGTAAGT